ATATGAGCTCATGGTGTATGTGACAGGTGTGACTTTCCTCTTGCTCCCTCTTTCTGTCATTGTTGCCTCCTATACACTAATCCTACTAACTGTGCACCACATGCCCTCAAATGAGGGGCGTCAGAAGGCCCTCATCACCTGCTCTTCCCACCTGACTGTGGTCGGGATGTTCTATGGAGCTGCCACATTCATGTACGTCCTGCCCAGTTCTCTCCACAGCCCCAAGCAGGACAACATCATCTCTGTTTTCTACACAATAGTCACCCCAGCCCTGAACCCCCTCATCTACAGCCTCAGGAATAAGGAGGTCATGGGGGCCTTGAGGAGGGTCCTGGGGAAATACATGCTGCCGACACACTCTACCATCTAGGAGGAGCTTACTGCTTCTCTCAAAATTCATTCCTCCTCAACAGCAGAAGATTTCTGCTAAAAGTCACATTTTCATGGTAGAAATATCACAGTGAAGAATATATCTTTTTTTTTTTAATATTTTTTTTTAATTTTTTTTATTTATTTATTTTTCCCGCAAAGCCCCAGTAGATAGTTATATGTCGTAGTTGCACATCCTTCTAGTTGCTGTATGTGGGAAGCGGCCTCAGCATGGCCGGAGAAGCGGTGCGGAGGTGTGTGCACAGGATCCAAACCCGGGCCGCCAGCAGCGGAGGACGCGCACTTAACCGTTAAGCCACGGGGCCGGCCCAAGAATATATCTTTTAGTAGAAAAATGAGGGAATGTAACTCAACTTGTCAAATGCTCCTTTAAGTCTTTCCAGGAGGTAATTTATAAGGTATGAGTCACACTCTACTTAAAATTTGCTCTCTATTTTCCCTAGTGGCTCTTGAGTTAAATGGGACTAGGGACTTTTGCCAACTTTGGACATGACCTCTGACCTTGGAAGTCCGTATTGGACCAACACAAGAAAACAACAAAAGAAAGTTTCAAGTGGGAGGACTAAACAAGCTCCACACATCAGGGGAGGGGACTTGGAGATCTGCACAAATTCTAGGCTAAGTGACCTTGTTAAAAATCATGTAGCCAGCACAGTTTTATGCCCAAACTAGTAGTAGTTTTCATGATGTTCACTCCTTTTTCCAAACATCAGCCATTATGGAAACTGCCCCACCCGGACATCCAACAGGTGTTTTTTGTTTGTTTATTTGTTTTTGACATGGGAATATTTTATACTGCCTAAAATTCAATTGCTACTGAAATGAATAAAGTAGAAAGGTAAGGCATCTTGTACGCAAGATCCATGGTAAACAACTATGCTTATTCCTTGGCAATAAACAAACACACAAACAAGACAAAACTGGGTTTCCATTATTTCAAGGCTGTCTTGAATTGTCCCTACAATCGCACAGGGTTCATATCCTTGATATGTGTGGATGTGTGAGTCTATGGATGTGTATTTGTGATGAAAAAGGATGGGACAACATATAAATTCCTTTTCTAGTATCTTAAATATGCTGTTCTACTATCATTTGTTTATAAGTCTTGAAATATTTAAACAAAAGCTGTGAGTTGTTTTGAAGCCTCAAAATAACATGGTTCATCCGAGAGGTACTATTTTAGGGAATATTGCTTTTTGTGGAAATTTGCTAACACTTCCCCTTTTTTAAAAAAAAAATTAAACAACACTTTCATCTTTGATACAAAAAGAAATTCCTTTTAAAAGATTAATAAGATTAAGAATACTAGAAACAGACAAAAACCAACTAAATTCTCCTTACCCAGAGATAACCTCTACACATATTTAGATATATTTCTTTCCATGTGTAATGCAGGCGTGTATTTTACTGAGTTGATATCTGCATATAGGATAGAGATTTTTTTCACTTATTACTAGATAGTGAGTGTTTTCCCTATATTATCTGGTGGCTGTCAAGACCAGTGACAAAAAGCCTGGGGTCAGTTATCAGAGTACCAAGGTTTGAATTCAATACACCCTCACTTACTTATATAACTTTGAGTATTTTACTTAACCTCTCTGTACCTAAGTCTGTCGTCTATAAACTGTACATTGGCAGTAATAGTAAGACCTACCTCATAGTTGTTGTGAGGATGAAATGAACGTTAGTAAATACAAGTGTAAGGCATTTAGAACAGCACCTGGTGTACGATGAGTACTTAATAAATCTTAACTGGCACATGAATAAATAGCCTTGGGAATACTTTCACACGGTGATATAATATTACATCGTATGGATGCTTTGTAATAGAATTGGCTATTTCATCACCATTATACATTTAATACCGGTGGTGGTGGTGGTGGTGGTGGTGGGTGGTGTGTTTGTGTAAAAACAGCAATCTTGATCTCTTGGGTGTGTGACTAAATTTTTCCCTTAGAATAAATTCTTATGAATGGAATTAGTAAAACCAAGGTCAAAATCTATTTAACATTCTTGATACAAAAATACAAGTTGATTTTTTTTAAATGTTAAACATTTTGCATTTTTACCAGCGACATGTAAGTGTACTTAATCCAACACCCCTTTTTCCATGTTTAACATATAAACAGTTTTTATGTTAAGTTTTAATAGTTTTATGTTTTCATGTTTTTAATAGTTCTGTTAAACTTAACATATAAATAGTCTTTACTAATTTACTAGATATAACATTTAACTCTATTATTTTAATTTGCATAAATTAATTTACCTTTTTTTCTTATTGAGTTGTTGGAATTCCTTAAGGATTAGAGATACTGATACTTTGTTATATTTGTGATAATAACTCTTTCTCCAATTTGCTATTTGACTGTTTATGTTTCCATGGTAAAAATTTTTAGAATGAGAGGTGTTAAAAGTACTTACACCGTGAAATCTATCCATCTTTTCTTTTCTGTTTTCTTTCAGTGATTTTACTGTTAGGATGTAATTTTCCACTCTCTCTTTAGGTAACAATTTACGTATTTTATTTTTTCTTAATCATTTCATAATTTACATCTAACTTTTAAAATAAATTTCTAATTTATCTTGATATGGTGACTTTGAACTTTTTTCTAAGTTGTCACTTTCCTAGTAATATTTTAAAATAATCCTTCCTTTTTCCATTAATTTCTTCTATTTCTTTTATCACATATTATCTTCTCATAAATGTGGTATTAAGCTACATTTCTTGGCTATCTCTTCAATTCTAGCTTCATTCTCTTCTTTACTCTTTCTGAAGATGTTAAAAACTTACTGGTAATTTGATTATGACTATATTTAACTTATAAATTAATTTGTAATTTGGACATTTTTTGCAATACTCAGCTATGCCTTCCAGAACACAGTGTACTGCTACACTTCTTGAACCCAGTCTTGATTCCTTTCTTAAAATGACTATTTCACACCTTCAGTCTGAGCTGGTGATCTTACCCCATATTTCACTTGGAATGGAAAGTGAAGTGTAGGGTAAAAAAGGGAAGGGAAGCTAAGAAAGAGCAACCCTTATTTTCCCGTCTTCAAACCTCCCACCCGCCTGTATGTATCTGCACGTTCACATCTTGTTTTCCCCCTTTACAACTGTCTATCCAAGGCTGACCCCTCCACCGGTAATTTGGATTCCAATCTCACTCACCTACCAAAGATTTTGCTCCTGCAGCATCTCTTTAATCTCTTTCATCAGAATCTCTTGAATCATTTTCTTCCTCTCTTCTGCATCACAACCATAGGACACAAATATACTCTGATTATCCCATCATAAAAATCAATTTCCATGATTCCACATCCCTTTCAGTTACTGACTCATTTTCTCAGCTTCTCTTCAGAGAAAACAAAATCTCAAAAGGCACGTCTATGCCCAGTTTCTTCTTTGCTGATTTTCTATTCATATTTTAACCCACTCCCAATTAAGCTCTCTTCTCTTCCCATGGACCCGTTCTTTGTTAAAGTCATCATTGGTGTTCCAAATATAGTGGTCATTTCTGTATCCTCCTCCTTCAACTGTTCAGCAACATTGACACAGTTGAATGCTCCCTTCCTCTTGAAATTGTTTCTTCTCTTGGCTTATAGATATCGTTCATTCTTAGTTTTCCACTTTCCTCCTATTAAATCTCCTCTCTTTCTGAATTTGGAAGTTCCCTATGGTACTAGTACGAACCTCTTTTTCATCTCCTTCAATAATTTCTTTCTGAGTAATTTCATCTAGTTGCATAGGTTTAAAAGCAGCCAACTGCTTCCATAAACCACAGACTCATACGTCGATTACCTACTCACCATGTCTGATAGGAATTTCAAACTTAATCCAAAACATAACTTTTGATTAGTCCTCCTGCTAATCTGTTCTTCCCTCATTCTTTTTCATCTAAATCAATAACATCATCATTTGCACAACTGATCAAATGAAAAACTTAAATATAAGCATTATTTTCTCTTTTAGCTTTACTACTCCAAGTAAATCTTATTGATTTCATCTATATAATACATGCCAAATATGTGCACTTTTCTTGGTCTCCCCTCAAGTATCTTAGTCTAAGTCACCGTTATCTATTTCCTGTTGCTCTACAATAGCTTCCCACTAGGTCTTTCTCTTTCCACTCTTGCCCCACTATAATCTATTTTCTCCTTAGTATACAGATTGACCTTCATAAACATACAGTCATGCACCACATAACAACGTTTCAGTCAATGACTGGCCACATATACGATGGCGGTCCCATAAGATTAGTACAATATAGCCTATATTAGTACAATATAGCCTATAATATCACCCAACAATGCATTTCTCAGAATATATCCCTGTCATTATGTGACACATGACTGTAAATCAGATCATGTCATATTTCAACAAGGATGCACATGATCTTGCCCTGCTTTTCAGTCCATATTTAAAACTGTGCTCCCTCGCACTCACTCTAGTCTAACTTCATTGACCTTCTTGCAGTTCATCACACAGTCCGAAAATGTTCCTGCTTTAGGTTAAATTAGTAGCTATTCTCCTAGCCAGTGATGTTTTTCTGTCAAATCTGCTTGACTTACTAAAGTCTCATCTTAAAAATGTTAACTTCTTGAAGAGGTTACCAATCTAAGTGGCATACACTCAAACTGAAAGGCATTATCACACATTGTGTTTTATTGTCTTCATTACACTTATCATTATGTGAAACTTTCTTATTTATACCTTAGTTTACTTGCTTACTCTCTGTCTCCACCTTCCAAAATGAAAGCTCCATGAGAGCATGAACTATGCTATGTGTGTGTCATAGCTTCTTCTCCATAAAATCTAGGAATACATATAGCACAATCTCTACAATAACAATGCAGAAAGGTACATGCATGTGTATATCTTCACTGAAGAAATAGAGGAATATGCCATGTTCCTAGGTGAAAAGATTTAATATTTTTATTTAAATATGTTAACTTTTGCTAAATAATCTATAAATTTGATGTAATAACCATCAAAATTCTAACGGCATTTTAAAAAGTGGATTTTGACAAGCTGAGAAGTAGAAAGCATATTAACTATTAAGAAAATTGTGATATAGAAGAAAAATAAAAATTATGTCCTACCAGCTAAAGCTACAGCAATTGAAATGCAACAAAACAGCAGTAATTGACAAATACGCCAATATGCGTATTGAAATTTAGTATATGTTATGGCAGAATTTGAAATTAATAGGGAAAGAGTGACTCACCATGGTACTAGAACAAATGGTTAAATATTTATAAAAAAAAATACCATACTAACTCACATACATAAATTCTTGTAAAATAAATTCGAGATATTTTAAAGATCTAATGGTTCAAAACAAAGTCCAGTGTTAGGCTGCCTACCTCAGAGTCATGTCCCACTTTTTTCCCAGCAGACATGGGGCCTTATGATTGAGTTTCAATGAATGGAATGTGAGCAGATGTGATGTGCTCCTTCTAAGCTACAAAACACTCCAGTGAACAACTTTTTATCTTCACCTTTATAGATACTGACATGCAAGATGACCTTGAAAGCCTCGAATAGCAGAGCTCTGTAAGCTTGGGTCCACACATTGGCCACTCCATCCCTCAACTAGAATTTAACATAGGTGAAAAGTAAACTTCTACCTGTTAAGCTGCTGAGATTTGAGATTTATCTGTTATGAGTGGGGGTCAGCAAACATGTCACCAGGGCCACATCTGAACTGTCTGTTTTTATAAATAAAGTTTTATTGTAACACATTTATTTTTGTATCATCTGTGACTGTTTTCCTGCTACAGTGGCAGAGTTGAGTAGTTGTGATGGCGTCAGTATGGCCTGCAAAGCCTAATATTTATTATCTGGCTTTTTATAGAAAAAGTTTGCTGTTCTCTATGTTAGAGCAACCAGTTTTACCTTACAAAAAGGAAAACTAGAACTAGTATTAGAACATAAGAGACTATTTTATTACATTAGGAGTGAGGAAAGCCTGTCTTAGTAAAAAGTAAAATCTATGTCCCCAGCTTATTCTCTGCCTACCTGCCTCTTACCCCACACCACACATTTACCTGGTTAATTCTTTCATTTTTCAGTTTTCAACTTAAAAGTCATTGCCTCAGGAATGCATTCTGTATGCTTTCTAAAAGTCTGTCACTATGTAATTACCTTATTCTGCTGTCATAATTTTTGCCAAGGTCAATAACAACTGAACTGGCAAATTCAATAGCCTTTTGTCGATACATAAAACTTTGAGACAGTTGAGAAATCTTTCCTGGAAGGCCTCTCCTCTCCACTTCTGACACACCCTTATTCAGCTTCTCCTTCTGTTTCTCTGATTCTGAATGCTCTGGGCTTGACTGGTTACACTTCATCCACCTTGAAATGTTGGTAACTCCAAGATTTTGTCTTGGATTCTTTCCTGCTGTCTTTCATCAACACCACGTCTCATCCAGGATTGCACTTCAGAATTACCTTGGGATATTTTTATAAAACATATGTATTGCCTCCATCTTTGCCACCATTATGGCCTATGGTAGGACCAGGAACTTACATTTTAATATAACTCTCTCAAGACTGCAAGACAGTCTTGTACAATTTGTGCTCTGGTTTAAACCTTTGGCACACATCCTCGGGTATGTCAGACTTCACTTTCATTTATTTGCAGCAAACTTCTAAATCTATTTCTCCAGCCCGTATCTTTCTCTTAAACTCCAGTTTTATTTATTCTTTCGAAATGATGTTTCTTGAGCAACAGCCATGGCTAGGCACTTTATTACAATTGATAATATAGAGATCAACAAGCAGTCACAGTCTTTACTTCCATGGAATTTACAGCCTAATGGGGGTGTCAGACATGAAGCAAATAATCATACAATTTGTTTATATAAAAACCATCTTGTTGCCTAAAAAGCAGTGTACAATTTTTAGCGTGCCTAAGAATCACCTGAGGCTTGTGACAAATGGAGATTCCTCAGATCGACTGTCCTACCCCATCCTGTACTGACAAATATTTTTAAATAACAACCCAAGCACCATTTCAAGTCATGATATACAAAACTGTGGTCTACATTATAAATGCCTTACCACGAAGGCGTATAACGGTGGCCCAGCCCTCCTTTTCTTAACTTTGTCCTCGTTTCCCATCACTGTACCATAAATTCACCAATCTTCAGCATTTTCAGAATTACATGCTGGGCAGATTCTTTAGTATTGAATTCAAAACATTTATCAATCTAGATTCTTTGTCTTACTTTTCAGCTTTATATCTCACTATTGTCCTAACAATACACATACTTTTAGAAAAATTCTATCATTTGTCACTCCTTAAATGTGCTTTCTTTTAAATTTAGAATTTAAGGCCATGTTAGAAATAAACACCATAAAGATTTTACTTTTTATATCTCTATCCCCAGCTTCTAGAAGTATACCTAGGATAGTATATATATAGAATATAATATTTTGAATATATTTGAAATATATTTGATGAATGCATGCAAGAATGAAGAAAATGACTCCATTTGCCAGAAATGTATTCTCGTATTTGCAGCAGTTTTGTTTATTTGGTTCTTTCTTTTTTTATGTATAGTTGTATGTCTACTTGTTTTTTAATTTCCTTATTAGCTTGTATGGTCTTAGAGAGTAGAGACTGTTTACTTATCTACCTTTCATTTGCTTCCTTCTTTCATTCATTCCTCCCTTCCTCCCTCCCTTCCTTCCTTTCTTTTTTTCCCTTTCTTGTTCTTTCTATATTTCTTTGTTTAGACACCTTGTGTCTGTCAAGGTGCCTTGCTTTGAATAGGCAATTTGATGAATTTATCTGAGAAGAGACCTGGGAAAATAGGAGACAAAAAAGGAAGTAGAGAAATCCAACGAAAACAGGAAAAGTGTACAAGAAAATCACTTCTCTCTACATACCTGAAATTGTCATCATAACCAGAGATCCCCACCTTCAAAGAGATTATTTTGCAGTCACTCTCCTGAGAGCACCTTTGACATCCTTGTTCCTCAGACTATAAATGATAGGATTCAGCATGGGTGTCACTGCTAAGGAGAACACAGAGATCATTTTATCCCTTTCATTCATTATCTTGGAGTTTGGCCTTATGTAGGCAAATAGTGCTGAGCCATAGAAGAGGACAACAACAATGAGATGGGAGCCACAGGTGGAGAGGGCTTTAAGCCTACCCTCCCCAGACTGCATCTGGGTCACAGTGGAGGTGATATTCCAGAAGGAGACAAGGATTAGGGAGACAGGAGCTAAGAGGATGACCACACCCATTAACCATTGACCATTGACCATTGACCATTAGGTCAGCACCAAGAAAAGAAACACATAGTGGTCAGTTATAAAAAAAATCTGAGTAACTTAGGTGTTATTAGTAAAACTGGGCTATTGATTTCTATCTCTTAACAGTTTCCATGTGTCAGAAGACAGAGTTCTCTCTTTGCTCAGTAGTGCTGACAATTGAAAGCCATTTCTGATTTTCTCTTTCCTTGAATCTTTTAGCAGCACCAGAGGAGCAGAATCATCCTGAATATACTACATGACCAAACCTTGACTCAACCACGTACAGTCTCGAGAGGACTCAAGTGCTGCTCACAGTGCAGCCTTCCTGTTGTGTAGGTTTGGGAAGCAAACAAATTGATGTTGCTTAGATTTTCAAGTTAGATTTTTATGCTGCAAACTGTCTTATAACATTTATGAAGGCTGATTTTTTTCATTTTACTATTTACAAAATAATCATAAAAAAGCACTCTGAACAAGGAATGGGAAATTAAGAGATGATGTAGTAGTCTGTGATCCTGGCCCTTAAACAGATTCTTCTGCCATTTGTTTTCAAGGTGAAGAAGGTGCTGAGGAACACCAGCGAAGTTAGCTGCCTCATTGGTCATCCTGCACTCAGTACCATCCTTTAAATATGCCCTCATCTGTCCTCCACACTCTTTTATCTCTCCTTGCCAAGGCCCATTGGCCACAATAATACTAATTATCATGTGTTGGGCACTCCTCTGGTGCCAGGCATTATTAATAGTTTCTTTACATTCACTTTTTATTTTAAATCCTCTTATTTAAGTCCGTATGAGGTAGTTATTATTACCCCAAGTATACAGATGATGAAACCAAGACTCAGAGAAATTTTCAAACTAGTTCCCCTAAGCCTCCTCACTCCTCCTGTATCCTGCAATCCTTTTTCTTTCTTACTCAAAAAGTTGTAGAGAAGGTTAAAGTTTCACTCAGTTCTCTTTGTCTATTCCCACAGCCACTCCTTAAAGACAAACCCACAGACCTTCTCATTTTAAGGATTTTAGAGCTAAACTACCATGGCAGAGCTATCTGTACGCACAAAAATAACTATCAGGCATATTTTAACAGATATTTTAAAACATTTGGGGGGTTTTGTCTGAATGACAATAGAAGGAATTAAAGGAACAAATATTGAGAAAAGTGATAAAGATTATTTGCAGATAATTTGATTGCATTTCTTAAAAAAAATAAAAAAGAGCCAATTCAAGCCTGTGATAACTGCTAAGAAATATGGTCTGGTACAAGATGAGTAACGGAACGTTCTTGTATTATATACCAAAAATAACCAAGTAGAAATGTGAGTAAAAAAAATTCCTTCACAATGGCTAAACTTCACCAAATGTACACTTAGGAAGCATTCAAGATGTATTTGAAGAACTATGAAACACGATACTTGAAAAAACGAATAGATACACTGATTTTATGAGTAGAACAATGTAGTCTTATAAAGATATTCATTTCATCTGAATTAATCCATAAATCTATTGATATTCCAACAAAGCTCACAGAGAATTTTTATAAGGGAATTTAATAAGCTTATTCTAAATTTTATCTAGATGAGTAATTTTATGATAGAAAATGAGATGTGGAAAGGAAAAATGAGGGAGTAGAGAAAACACATCCTACCAAATATAAAATATATAGTAAATTTCCCTCCCTTATTGATATAGTGTATACCGAGAAGGCATAAAACTTTTGACTGATAACTATAGAACTGATCTTAGTATGTGCGAAAAGTTAATATATGACTAACTTGTCATCTTAAATAAGTATATTACTTTGCAAAGGGTATGGGACAATTGAACATTATTATACAGTACATACACATATATTTATACACACACATAATGTAAGTATAAACAATAATTAATCCCAAATGCATTAATGATCTAATTTTTAAAAACATTTCAGTTTTCTTTGAAATTAGGTAGTGTCTCTCTATTTATCTATCTATCCAATCTTTGGGTGATAAAATCTTTCCTAAACATGCACACACACACACACAAAATCATAAAGAAAAATGCTAACAAACTGGACAATTTAAATATCAGACTTCTATGTAGTGGATACCATTATAAACAAAATTAAAAAAATAAAATAAATCTGAGAAAATATTTGCAAAATAATTTAACAGAAATTTTTTATTTATAATATATAAACACCTCTTAAAAATCAATAATAATAGACATAGAATCCATTAAAAAATGGAAAATGATTTAAATACTCTATTCACAAAAAAAAGTTAAAACTGAACAATAAACATGAAACAACATGCACATTAAAACAAGAAATAAAATATCATATTTTGCCTTTTAGGTAAAATTTAAAAGGATGTAACATCCAAGTTTGGTGACTTAGCAAGATGACGATGATAGGTTATTAAATGTAAGGTAAGCCACCAGACTTCACATGTGATATATCATTTACTCTTTTAAATGGAGTGTGAATGCATGTGTCTGTTTGTGTATACATATGTATTTGTGGTATGCGTGTATTTCCCCAGGTATTTCTCCTGCAGTGAGAGTCCACAGATCATGGACTGCTGTCAGTTGTAAGGAGACAGCATAGCTCACTGACTGACAGCCAGGGCTCTACAGCTAAACCACAGGGTTTGAATCCTGGCTTTTCTAGTTGATGTATCACCAACAGCAAATTACATAGCTTTTCCATACCTAGCTTTTCTCATCTGTGAAATGGGGATATAAATAATATATGTCTTATAGTGTTTATGTAAACATTAAATAAAATATAAACTACTTAAAGAATCTAGGACAGTAAACAAGGCTAGCTCATAATATTATATAGCATCCATTATAATAATGGGATCGTGACCTAGAAGTAACTGCAAGATTAGGAAAATAGTTAAGGACAAAGCATAGGAACACAAGGCTGCTGTGTTTGACTGAAGAAGATGCTGCTTATTCTCACTATTTTTACCCTTTTGATTCTTTTGCTCTTTGTTCATCCTTTAGGACTGGAACTGTGTTGCTAGCAAAATTCAATGTCAAGGTCAAGTGCGATAGGGGATAACGAGAGGTTTCTAAGTCTATGGAATGAAGGGCAAAGACAAGCATTGGTTTGATTTAATCATGTTATTCTCTCTTTTTTTTGAAACTCTTTTATTATAGAAATTTTCAAACATATATAAAAATAAAGAGAATAGTACAATAAAATACCAGTACCTAGCAATAAGATTCAAATATATTAATCAATTTTGATCAATTTACCATTTAGTTTATTAGAGTGTGAGTGTAACAACAAAATATACCTAAAACTATTTAAAAACTCCTTCATTATTGAAAGTCTAAAAGAGAAATTATTTGTCATGTAAGTTTGAAATTAGAACCTAGCCTTCCCCCAAAGTTAAAATTTTAAAAAATAAAAATAACCATATGTAAGGATTCTTAGGAAAGCTGCTGTGCCCTATCAGAAGAGTCTGTATACATGGTTTGTAGATCCATAGAAAATAATCTGTTAATGGTGATTACTCCCAGGAAGCGGGATTCTAGTGGGAGCAGGGCAAGTGGCTGAGGGGGACTTTCATTTTTTAGTGCTTCTCTGTATTGTTTGAATTATTGTACAATTTAGCCTGCATCTTCTAAGTAAAAAAGAAAATAAAAATTACTTTAAATAGATGAATGTTTAAAATAAAAGCATGAAGGAATTACAATGATAATACAATACAGATAATACAAATTATAGCAATGCAAATAATATATGAATAGTGAAAAAAGCAGAAAGATACGTCATTGGATCAGAATAGAGATTATAACCAGCAAAGGCTGTGTAAAAATTATGTAAATGCCTCCAATAAGCCAGAAAAGTACATATTATTCAATAAATCATGCTAGAACAATTGACTAAATAGTTGGCAAATGAATGAAGTTTGTCTACCTCATACATTACAGAGAAAGCATTCCAGAGGGATTAAAGATGTGTGTCTGTGCATTATACACAGACACACATGTATAAATAACCTTAAACATTTAAAAATAAGGTGATTATTCATTGATCTCGTGGTAGAATACTTATCTGAGCATAACAACAGAAGTACAAGCTATAAGAGAAGACGCTGATACAGTTGACTGCAAAAATACTTTAAATCTCTACGCATTCTCTCAAACAACACAATAGCAAGAAGATAACACGATTAAAAAGTGGGCAAAGTAGGGGCCGGCCCCGTCGCTTGGCGGTTAAGAGCACGCGCTCCGCTGCTGGTGGCCAGGGTTCAGATCCGGGTGCGCACCGACGCACCACTTGTCTGGCCATGCCGAGGCGGCGTCCCACATGCCGCAACTAGAAGGATGTGCAACTATGACATACAACTATCTATTGGGGCTTTGGGGGGAAAAAGGGAAAAAAAAAAAAAAGAGGAGGAGGATCGGCTGTAGATGTTAGCTCAGGGCTGGTCTTCTTCAGCAAAAAAAAAAAAAAAGTGGGCAAAGAAGCTGAATAAACATTTCTCAAAAGAAGACGTACAAATGGCAAACAGGTATATGAAAAAGTGCTCATCGCTAATCATCTGAGAAACGCAAATCAAAACCACAATGAGATATCACCTCACACCTGTTAGAATGGCTATTAGCAAAAAGACAAAAGATAACAAGTGTTGATGAGGATGTGGAGAAAAGGGAACATTTGTACACTGTTAGTGGGAAAGTAATTGGTACAGGGATTATGGAAAACAGTGTGGAAGTTCACCCCAAGATGAAGAATAGAGCTAATATGTGATCCAGCAATCCCACTTCTGGATATATATTCAAAGGAAATGAAAACAGGATCTCAAAGAGATATTTGCACTCCCATGTTCATTGAGGCATTATTCACGATAGTCAAGATACAGAAACAACTTAAGTGTCTGTCAATAGATAAATGGATAAAGAAATGGTGGTATATACACACACAAACACACACACACAGTGGAATATTATTATTATTAAAAAAGAAGGAA